CAACCGTGCACCTACGTGGTATACCTTGAGTAATGCTAATGTCGGTAGTATTTTAACTTTCAAGTCCAATAACCGTAAAAGTTCTTATGGAAAGAAGATTTGTAACCAGTGTTTCGGGAACGTCTCAATGTCAGCTATAAGAATATGTACAAAAAAATAGGGGGTTCCATTTAAGATTTTTATGTCGAACTTGATAACGTTTCTGAAGGTCATTCCAAGGTCAAACAATTATCAATATCTGATAGCTTTTTCAAGCCCTACAACTTTTGTTTCAAATATTGTTTTAAACAATCATTATTTTTTGAAATAATTAGCCGTTCCGGAACTTTTGGCGGACCCTGTATACGTACATACATGTGTGTGTATGGGCGCGCGCGTGTGTGGGTTATACTCCTTTAATCCGTTAATTTCCATAGGTAGCCTAGAGTGGATATGAAAGACTATGGGATGTACGATATAACCGAGAATTATAATTATTGGCGAGAAAATATTGTCAAAATAATTTGTCCATAACTACATTGTTCAAACAATTTATTGCAAAAATGATTTTCGGCAGGAAATAATGGTGCCATCTCATTCAACAGAGGAAATCACATGTTAATAATGTGCTATATAGGCCGAATATTGCAAGTGTTATAAAAAGCAACAAAAAAACAATCAATGAACAGCTCAAAGTTTTATCCCGACTCTGACTAGTTCGAACCGAGTCCGAGACATCGGAGTGGTGATTTAAATTACGCCAATCATAGTATTACTATCACAGATCACAGCTTGTAAAAGCTTTTTTTTTGTTCACGCAGGAAAAACCCATCATGGGTACCCTCGACCCTTGGGAGGGGTCGAGGGTTATGTCGGACTCTTACCGACTAAAACTCCTGCGGGATGTCTACCGTTCGGACCGGTATGGGGGGAGTCAGGGGAACTGCTCCCGCATTCCCTCCCCGACACCCGGGCCCCAGAGCTCGTTATGGGAGCCCCACGCCCTAAGTAACGCGCTCCCAAGCCCCCCTCCGCTGGGAGGAGGTCAGAGCGCGGTGCCCCGATCAGTGACTGATCGGGTTGGCCTTCTGGTTCCCGATTACGAGAGAGAGAGGACATCCGCTCTCCCTTCCCGCCCCCCTCCAGTGTGCACACCAGTCGAGGGGGGTGGAGGTGAGTCCCGTCCCCAAACGGGCCTTCACTCCCCCCTTCCTCCTTGTCCGAGGCGCGCGGGGAAGGTCAGTTACCTCCGACCTCCCTCGCGCGTACGGAGTCGAGCCCGAGGCGGCCGAGGGAGTCCCCGAGGAATCGGGGGCCTCTCCTCGGCCGGCGCCACCTCTGGCTCGCTGCCCAACCCAGGGGAACGCCGCCCCGTTCGCTGCTCCCTTCGACGGATTCCCGGGCGACATTCCCACTCTACGGCCTCCTTCCGGGATATTACATCCTGCGCGAAGGCGGCCACAGCTCCCCACCTCTCCTCGCTCCCGCACATGGTCTGGACCAAGTGCGGGAGCGAGATGTCCCCCTCCCGGCACCCCACCGCCCGGGAGAAGACACTGCGTTGCGGAGCCCACGCCTGACAATGCGTCAGGGTGTGCTCCGCAATGTCCTCAAGCACCGGACAGTGGTGGGTTCCTTTCCGACCCGGTGCAGGTACGACCCGAAACAACCGTGTCCGGTCAACACCTGCACCAGATGGAACATTAATCCACGCCCAGCCCTGTCCGCCATCTCGGCTAGACAGGGGTGGACAGCCTCGGCCGTTCGATGCCCGAATCCTCGGGGGTCGGACAGCAAGTCCGCCCACTTCCCCAGGGTCCGGGCTCTGGTCTGGGACTTCAGGGCCCTCACTCCCCTGGCCGTTAGCTCCCACTCCTCGCGGAGCTCACGCACCCGCCAATAGAGAATATGTCCCTCCTCGGCGATGAGCTCCACGGGAGGGGAGCCGGCCAGGGCTCCCGCCGCCATATGGGATACGGTGCGGTACCCCCGAATGGCCCATATGACCACCGGCCGCAGAGCCTGGCGCATCAGGTACTTACTGCGGTCGGTGGCCGCCAGCTGGGGCGCCCAAATAGGCGCCCCGTACAGGGCCATCGAGAGCACCACACTGACGTAAAGGCTGCGGGCTCTCCATCCTGGACCCCCCCGGGCGCGCATCAGGCTGGCTACTTTTAGCCCTGCCCCGCGCATCCGGGGGGCCAAATTCCTAAAATGTGCCCGGAAGTCCCACCGACTGTCTAATGTGAGGCCCAGATATTTCATCGTTGGCCCTACCCGGACGTGGACTCCATCGACGAGGACCCGGGTCGGCGGCGGCGCCCCACGACTGCCATCATGAAAAAACCCCTCGACAGCTAATCCGCCGGGGTCCGCCGCAATCACGTCCCCGGGGGTGGGAAGGTGTGCTCCTGTCTCGCGACCACCTACCATCTCGTGTCCACCATCCGTCCTATAAAAATCGCCCGCAGGCGGTAAGTCTATGGACGGGTTGCTACACCCGTCCGTTAGGGACTTAGAGTCCGAAGACTCTGGGTTGTTTTTTAAAAATTTTTCGGTGGTCATCATTCTGTTCCCACGAGTACGACAGGAAGGATGCATCGATCTTGGGTAGAGCCCCCGTATTACCCAGGATAAGGCTAGCATGTCCCCGTGGTACGCCAGATGCCACGGGTGAGGAACCACTAGCGACAGGTCACGCACCTGACATTCATCCCATAAGCGTGGCATGCCTCAACCGTAGGATTACGTGGTATTTTATAGAGGACCCGCCTCGCGGTCCGACCAATAAAGGCAAGACCCCTGGCCCCAGAGACATGACCTAGGGTTATGGTGTGATAGGCTAGAGTTTGCCGGGGTTCATCTGGATCCCACGTACCAGGGTGCCAAAACACCCTGGCCCCTCGCAAAAGTGTAGGGTTGTACGTGCCTCACAACTACGGGTTTGAATTCAGGGTTTTCCTTTCCCTAGATCGATTGCCTTCACACGGGCTCACGAGCCCGCTCTGCCCGCGCTGTAGGGACCTTTGGATCGTACGAATACGGACCTCCTTATGTAAAACTTGGAGGCAGCTGCCCCTCCAAGAGTGTTACGGACGCTCTTAGTCTGGTCCCTCCATATAGGCCACCCTGGTATGGTAGAACCTACCAGGGATCGAAACCCCCGCCGGTATAGCCCTGTACGTCATTGGGACACGCAAGCTCCCCCACCACGTCAAGGTGGCGTTCACGGGGGAGGCTTGTGAAAGCTTACATAAAATCTCGGTATCGTAGCGGAAAAAATCATTACATCTTTGTGTTAGCAAACAAGGATAAATCTGGTAGAAACGCGATTGTCGAATATTATTTTACTTACGAGAGCGGTTCACGTACTGTCGGATATTGCAGTCATATAATGACAATTATATGGTATCTTAGCTATGGACAGTACAATGGAATCGATATACCCAACTCTGATATATACAATGTGTCAATAACCATTCCTAACTAGCGAATTACAGAAGTATATCAAAATGAATACATGATTCATGCAACGTGAGAGACACGGGAACTCACGCTAATCAAGCATCCCAAATCGTGAGATGCACGAGGATTCACGCTAATCAAACACCTCAAACCATGAAAGGCACAAGGACTCATGCTAATCAAGTGCCCCAAATTGTGAGAGGCACGGGGACTCACGCTAATCAAGCACCATCTGAAATGAGTTAAAACAGTGAGTAAGGACATTGATGCACAATGCGAATTTTGACCCCTCATATCTTGAAGATAAAGAGTGGGCTCAATCTGAAATTTTCAGAGAATCAATGTCTTATATTTAACTATCATTTAGCACCAAATTCATGTCAGATTTCAAGGGTGATGAAACAAGCGATTTTTGGTCTTTAGCAGGTTGTATTGGCTGCTGACGGTGTTTCTAGTTGTCAGTGTACAAGCTATTGATATACCAAGAAGTTTTAAAGCTGGTGTGAACCTACAGTGCGCAATTATGAGGCTATGTTAAAAACTTATGTAGAGACAATTCAGAAACGAAAGCTGAGCCTTTCTCATTACACATACTGGATAATAAGGAATCCTATGAGATACTTGGATTTCTCGTGCAGCCTTCCTTTTTATTGTCCATCGATTCTCTCCGCAGCTTATATATCGTTCGTCTTTCTTTTGTTTCGCATATAGCGCCTTTCCACGGGGCGGTTAAGAAGATCGGTTTAATTGTAAGCTGATCGATAATGTAGGCCCACAGAAATTTCAAAATAAGGTATTGCGCTGTGTTTTAGATACATGCACATGGATCACCTTCATCATGATTTTAACATTAAGATAGTTCAAGAAGCTATTATAGAGGTTGCAATAAAACATCAGCAGCGTAACCCATATAAATTCTGAAGCATCCAGACTCCTTAATATTATAGGAAGGATAAGAAAGTTAAAATGTAAACTGATCGACCTTATCCCTGTTAGATGACATAAAACTAAAAGCTAGGTGCTTACTGACAAGAGTTAAATGAGCCGCACAATCTGTTAATCATTATTTATGAGAACAAATACTTATTACACGTAGAATATAGTTGTATTTGTAAATAATAAATTAAAATTAATTAAAATTAATAAAAAAACTTATTTGGTAGAGAATATTTACAAAGTACAATGGTATCCTTTCAAGTTCTTTTTATGTTTTATTGCAATTATTTACTCTACTTATCATTATAAAGAAATTAAGAGACAGTTATAGAAAACTTTCTATTTTTCCAGATATTTCATAGCTCATATCGGAAAATATCAAGAGAAGTTAAAAAGTATTTAATTTTTTCATGCGCACGCAGAATGGTTTTATCCTAGTACATAAAATCAGAAATCAATTCATATTTCAAAGATCATATTCTGTTAATAAAAGCGTTAAACAAATCATGTCGCCTTCAGAGCCATTTAACCATGAAATGTCTGAAATTGTTAAATTGTTGATGTTGATTTTTATATTGTTTAATATTTGTTATTAAAATAATTGGTCGTTTGTTTTGCAGATGATAAAAAGACTAATGATGATGTCAAGAAGGAAGGGGAAATCTTGACAGAGATGTTGGAAATTGTGGCAAAGAGAGATTCTCTAATTGCTTTATTAGAAGAAGAACGACAAAGGTAATGTTACATATAGGTAATTATTATATATAGGTAATATCGTTTTATTTTATTTTAATACATGTAACCATATGACCAAATTTATAATGCAACCAACTACGAGAGTCGTGCTAAAAGTTTTTAAATATTTTTAAACAAATGAATTTATTTAAACAATACGTATTATAATTTTTCAAAATAGCATCAACACAATCCCTGAGCATCAATACAATTGTATTCTAAAAAACCAGCCATTAAATATTTTATTCCACTCCTGTTTTGACGACATCGGTACTTCCTCATTGTAAACTGCAAATACTTCTTCTGATGTTTCAAATCGACATCTCCGAAGCTTTCTTTTTATTTTTGGCAATAATGCGAAGTTACAGAGAGTCAAGTTTGGAGAATAAAAAGAATGAAGTAGGATTCGAACTTGATTTTTCTGTAAAAATTCCAAAGCTCTCGCCGCTGTGTGAGGCCGTGTATTGTAGTGATAAATAATGGTAGAGTTTCAACCTTGAATGTGTAGAAGTCTACACTTCAAAGACTTTCGGAAGGCAGTGCGCAACGTATCACTCTGCTATCACAGTATGTTGATTTTATAATGGAACAGTCACTATATGGTCTGCCCTTGTGAAGAAAGATGCGATTATACAGGATGTCTCATTTTAATATCCCACTCCAAATAACTTTTTTATTTTTGATTGTAGAAAACAATGTTTCAGACAAAAGTTGTATAGTTTTGAGGAGGGCATAAGAAGATGTCATTAGTTTGACATTGAATAGTTTCTTGAAGGTCACATGAAGGTCATCTTCAATTTCTTAAATGGAACTACCAACTTTTCATTACATATTCTTCTAGCTTACATCGAAAGCTTTCCTAAACCTTATAATTTAATATATTTTCGTTAAATACTTTTTAAGTTATAAGGCAAGATTGAAAGCACGATCTGGCCGGTCAAGGCAAGATTAAAAGCACGTGTCATTTTCAACCTAAAATTCAAAAAATCAATTTCTTGGATTTTTGAACTTTCGGTCCAATTTTGACTATGACAACCACGTTTCGACCCGAAGTATACCCCATACGCGTTAAAGTGCATCGATATTTTCTTGGCGATTGTAATATTTGAGCATTGTTACAAAATTTTTTAGTAGTCCTGTAATTGTGGCTGATTATCCGCCAAACGAAATAGTTAACATGATTCGTATTTTGGGTGAGGCTGGAAATAATTACAGTGCAGCGGAAAGGCTGCATGCTGAAAGGTATCCTAGCAGACGTCATCCGTGTAGAAAGACAATAAGAAAACTCACCGAGAGGGCACAGCAGGGAAGTTTAAAAAGGATATGACAAAAATCTGAGTCAAGTGAAGCAAATTCATTGGTTGTCTTGAGTGCCGCTGTATTGAATCCCCAAATTTCCATCAGACAAATCAAGAAACACGGCATATCGAAATCGACAGCAAATCGTATACTTAAAAGGGGGAATATATAGTCAGAGGCGCGAAAAAAGGAGGTTTTTCAAGAATTTTTTTAAACTAAATGACTATACTTATTTATTCAAAAACTTTTCTATAATGTTAAGCTATGTTTGAAGAACAGTTTGTAATTTTTTTAGCCAATAATAATAGTAATATAAGTTTTAGCGATGACGTAAATGCGAATCGTAAAAAAAAAGATGCATTCTCGTGGACATCATATCTTAGGCAGGATTATCTGAAACAAAAAAAAGCAAAAAGATTTCGTTTGTATAGGACTTTGTCTTCCGGGTGAACGAAGGATTTTGAAAAAATTTGAATTTTGAATTTTTTAGAATACTTTGAAGTTAAGGTCACGATTTTCGCTTAAAAAATTGACCGTATTATGTTTATAAAACGAGTTCTAATTATTGAAAACAAAAATCCTTCGTTCACCCGGAAGCTTAACATGTATAAAATAAGTGTGCACAATTTGAAAATGATCGGTGCATTAGATTTTGAGATATCGTGTCCACCAACTTTGAAAATGTGGTTTCAAGAAAAACGCGTTTAAAGTTTTCAGTATGAATAAAACCTCCATAACAATTTCTTTTTTCAACTTACACAGAATCGTCTATTCCAGGATAAAATAAGTCCTCGACGCCTTCCAGAATGTCCAATTGTTCAGAATTTTTCTGTCTTTGCAGGATTCTTGCCTCCCGCGTAGCGAGTTTCGCTCTGTACTCGGCGGCGTTAATTCGTTTTTCGTCCAATTTTCGGCAATAATCGACAGAATTACGTCCTAATTTCACTCCCATTGAATAAAGAATAGCTAGATGACTCGATGATCCTTCGTTAAAAACATACGCTGAAATTTTAGCAGCAATATCTATTATTGTAGAGCCACTTGGAACAATTTTTGGCGTAATTTTCCAGATCAACTGATTATAGCTCTCATTGTTGTTTTGGTTGAAGCCGCCAATACATCTTTTTAGTAAGGTATCCGAACTCAAATCTTCGTAAACAGGTCGAATTGCTTGCAATATGTCATTATTAAAACTGTCATATGAGTGCACGAACGATTGAAGCTTGTCCATAGCTGCAGCACGCTGCCACTCACACCAAGAATCTTCGCCAACTGGACACATATCGTGTTGAGGATTTTCATTTGTAGAAGCGTAGTGGTAAAATGTGGCCCAAATACCTTTTTTCATGTCCTCAATATTCTCACAATTACGTAGAATTGCTAGTCCGTAATAAACCGTGAGCTTGTCTATCGTTTTTCCGGTTAATTTGCCTTTTCCTCCCAAAACTTTTCTTTTTATTCTTTTCTTATTTTTCGTTTCAACTTCAACGACAGTGTTATTGACGAGATTACGGAGGCGAGCTCCCATTCTTTTTTGGACATGCCCAACACATTCTTTCTTGAAAATTTCAAAATCATTGCCATAATCAACTTTTTGTAATATTCCAGTAAATGTTTCCGAGTCTCCGTCTCCGATATAATAACGATATTTTACACCGTATTTTTCCTCAGAACAGTTAAACATTTCTATTACCGCATCCACTTCCATTTTGCTAGAGGAACCTGTATGATTTGCGGAGCAATTTTCCTTATGTGTTTCGTACCATTCTTTGTATTCATTCTCTTTGACATTCATTTTTTTACTCCAAACTTCACACATTTTACAGTAGATACTTTTTACGCATACATCAATAATTTTACTACTATAATAGCCAATTAATGATGCTACACCAAACAATGAATTAAAACCACGCTTTTGCCACGTCTCCCTATACAGTTAGTTCATTTGTATAATCTAAATTGTATTTCTTACATGTTTCTTTTTTTTCTTCTTCTACAGCATTTGAAAAAATTTTCTCAGCAACGGTATTCACATACTCTTTCATATTTTTAACTATAATATCGTAAGTTGTTTGATTTAAAAATGGTGGCAGGTCAATTAAACCGCAAAACTTTTTACACCCTTCTAATCCTAGTCCTAAAATTCTCATTACGTAAATAAATCTGCGATTTATTTCATAAGTATGGCCGATAAAAGGGCAAGAGGATATGTAATTGGGCGGACACGTGTTACACGTTATTACAGCAATTTTGAATCCAAAGCCACGATCACTGCACGTTTGAAATTGTACATCACCATTGCATATCTTGCACTTTACTACATTCGAAATGGCCGAAAAAACTGTAAAAAAATTCAGAATTCTGTATTCTACAGTATTGTCTGTTGGCACATGCATGTCCTCGAGATACTTTATTTTTTTTGCAGATGTACTGAAACTTAATGGATCAGTTTCGGCCGTTTTTGGATTAAAACTCTGCCTCCGTTTTTTAAACCTGTCTTTTCGAGCTGCACTATTTTGCCGGGTATTTCTGTTCACTTTACGATCTTCCATAGTAGAAAACGGCACGAAAATCTTTTCCACAGGCGCACAACAAGCGTACAGTTCAAGGATTGATGCGAGACTAACGGTTCTACCGGTCTTGAAAACAAACGTGTTTATACCTGCGCCCTACGTGCCGCTCGTGCTTCAACGGGTCGGACGGGCGGGTCTTCTAGACGCTCTCACTCACTCAGTTTTGCTCGGATCAACTTGAAATTTTGACACAACATTCCTGAGATGTTGTACTTTCATATAAAAAAATAATGTCTAAAAGAAGCTTAATGGTTTGTTTTGACATCTGTCAATAACATTCAGTACATAAAGGTATACGCTCGCATCAATAATATTATTTCTTACTGCATCGAAAATGTCAAAATTGAGCCAAATAAGCGTAATTTGCGCGAAGTGTTAATCTTTTGCTTCAATTGGAAGAAAACTGCAGCTGAAGCTCATCGAATGCTTGTAGAAGTTTATGGTGATAATGCTTCTTCCGATAAAACATGCAGAGAATGATTTCGATGCTTTAAAAGTGGTGATTTTTATGTAGAGGACAAAGAGCGTTCAGGACGGCCAAGAGTATTCGAAGACGGAGAATTGCTGGCATAGGTGGACGTAGACCCATGTCAAACGCAAAAACAACTTGCAGAAGTATTAAATAGTGCTCAATCTGTCATTTCGTCATTTCGTGTCCGATCGTTTGAAAGCCTTAAGAAAATTTTACAAAGAAGGAAAATGGGTCCCATATGGACTGAAGGCAAGATACATTGAAAGGCGGAAAACCATCTGCGAAATTCTGTTTGCTAGGTAACAAAGAAAGGGGTTTTTATATCGTATCATCACTGGAGATGAAGAATGGATTTATTTGACAACCCTAAACGTCAAAAAACGTATGCGATCCCGGCCAACCCTCAACGCCAAAACGGAATATCCATGAAAAGAAGACAATGCTTTGTATTTGGTGGGACCAGAAGGGTATGCTGTACCATAAGCTGTTGAAAAGTAGTCAAACAGTCACAGGGGATCTCTACAGAGAACAAATGATCCGTTTGAGCCGAGCATTACACGAAAAACGACTAGAATATGAAACGAGACAGCATAAAGTAATTTTGCTTCATAACAACGCTCGGCTTCACGTCACAAAATCTGTCAAGGAAACGTTAG